TTCGTACTCTGACAGAGCTCTCTGTGACAGATAATAAGATAGTGAAAATATCTCTGAAAAGTAAGATAATCATCATTCTTAACTTATAATTTTATCAATTTTTTGAAGATATTAACATATTCTTCAGTCAGTGATATTATATATTCAATATTAATCTTATCTTATAGAGTTACAGTTAGACTGACCGTCTGACCGTGTCTGAGACCAGAATCAGAATTTTTAATAGTTTCATTACTAATTCAACTGATCTCATTACACAGGTTTAACATTAGATAGTAGTCTCATACTGTCTCAGTGAGACTTACTGTCTAATCTTATCACATTTTTCAAATGAGATCATGATTTTCACTTCTCAATTTAAATTATTTTTATTGCTTTAAATGACTTTAAATCTTATTTAAGTGTTATAAAAAAGTGTTACTTTTTAAAAATTTAAAAATAGTCTAAAAAAAACCTTAAAATGTCTAAAAATAGTCACTTTATATCATGAATGAGACTAAATGAGATCAAATGAGATCACTTTCTCATTTTTTTAAAGTCATGGTTTCACTTTGAGATTTCATATATAGTCACTTTGCAGGTTTGTTAAATAACTAGTCTCAGTGAGATTCACATCAAGAAATGTATGAGATCAGATTAAATGAGATCAAATGTGAAATTTATAATTTCACCAGTCAGTCTAGTTACAGTATTATCAGCTTCTAAGATTTTAATAGTGATTTAAATATTTTTAACAAGACTTGACAGTATACATCTATATAGAGACTTAAAATGAATCGTTCACTTCTCAGAATTAATATAATGTGTAAAAGAGAATTCTTATTAAGTTTTTAATAAAATATCAGTTTTATTAATAACTTCTGAATCAGTTAAAATGTTAATATATCAGACTTTATAATTAGAGCTATTAAATGTAATCACTGATTTAATATTTAGTGTATATTTAACTTTCTTCTAGTATTTCTGCAACTCATCTCTTATAATATTTTATAAGCTTTGTACAGAGATAGACATAGTGAGATATTATATAATTCTAACTACAGTTATTTAATTTCAGAGTATTATCTGTATAAGATTTATAAGATTGTCTACAGTGTAATAGATAGATTAATTCAGATCATTATTAAAAGTCAGTATTTTAAAGATAAAAGATAGTGAAGAATTTATTAAATTAAAATAAACAGATTCTGTAAATAAATATTAACTCTACTTTTCTTTGTTCTGAAGCTTCTTCATTATTTCATTATTAAATTTCATACTCTGATAAAAACTGATCTCAGTCTTATTCTATAAGTCAGAAACCTTCTTATAATAAGTAATTATTCTATTAATAAGTTATTTAGTAAAGTAGATAATTCTGAGCCTTGAGCTGAACTCTGAAGTCACAGATATATTACTTATATTAAGATAACTCTACTTCTTTTAAATATGTAAAAAAAAAAGTAATATTCTTTATAATAAAGAATATACTTTTTCAAAAGTATATAAATTTACTAATTAATATATTCAGAGAAAATGAAATATCTCTAATAAAAAGTAAGAGTCTTTTTAAAAAAGATAAACTACTCTTATCAAAAATATTAATATAATATTCTAAAAAGAAAAATATGCTGTTCAGACTATTATCTATAGAATAGTTAAAGATTGTATTAATTAAACTAATTATATAACTGTATCTGAGATTGAAATCAGAATTTTTAATAGTTTTATTATTAATTCAACTAATCTTATTACACAGTTTTAACATTAAATAGTAGTCTTATACTGTTTCAGTGAGACTTACTATCTACTCTTATTACATTTTTCAAATAAGATCATGATTTTCACTTCTTAATTTAAATTGTTTTTATTGCTTTAAATGACTTTAGATCTTATTTAAGTGTTATTAAAAAGTATTACTTTTTAAAAAATTAAAAATAGTTTAAAGAAAACCTTAAAATGTTTAAAAATAGTAACTTTATATCAAGAATGAGACTAAATAAAATTAAATAAGATTACTTTCTCATTTTTTTCAAGTTATGATTTCATTTTGAGATCTGATATACAGTCACTTTTCATGCTTTTTTAATGATTAGTCCCAGTGGGATTCATGCTAAGAAATGTATGAGACCAGATCAAATGGGACCAAATGTGAAATTCATGGTCCCGGCGGCCAGTCTAGTATTGATAGATCTATCTACAAGAACATAATATAGTGGTGGGTCACGTGATCTAGTGGGATCGCTAACCGCAACGGCCGTAACGGCCAACACATACTGCTCTCGCTTATAGTCATGCTCGCCACGCCGTTACGATTGTCCCTGTTTTCTAGCTTTAGTGTACTTATGCCTCGTCAATTTCCTTTATCCCGAAGTCCTCTGCGAAGGAGAATATTATATAACTATTTTAATACGTGCTACTGATAAAAAAATACATTCTACTTTACAAAAAGGCCTCCAAACTAATTCAAATCCCAACGCATGGGTTTAGGCAGGGGTATATATAAAATCAGAAGAAGGGGAGGGTCTTAAAACAAAAGGAGAATAAAAGAAGATTAAATACATTACTTCAACACCTCTGAGTCAATCTGAGCTTCCTGAAGTACCTGTTTCATCATAAAAGACAAATTTGGATTGGGGGTTTTCCATCTTCCATTACCAGGGAAAACATCCCTCCGTAGCTTGTTGACCCAAGGAACCAATGGTTGATAATATTCCGTAAAGTTCTTTCTTGTGGACCGGAGAAAGTCACTTTCATCACCTATTTCCCCTTTCTTTAACTTGGCCAACTCCTCTGTGTCCACATAGTTCCACTTCTCAAAGGATGGAACAGTCCTCCCCTTCCCTAGCTCATCATAGTGGATGCATATCCAAAAAAGCACCCAGAAGAATGACTCAAGATCATGCATGAAGGAATGCTTTTCACCAAGAAGTACGCCAATGGACATGAATGCCCGTGTGCCAGTTTTGCCCCGAGCTCCTGAAAACCCCTCTCGTTGCTCCTTGATTGCAAGGTCCAAGTCAATCAGGAATGACCGAAAGGAAGGATTATCATCATCTTCATTCATCATGAGGTTGTTTGGTGAGATATCACATTGAAGCATTCCAGCCATTTTATGTAAAGACTCATATCCTTCAATGCAGCCCTTCAGTGTCTCGAGCAGGGCAACCCTCGAGCTTGCTTTGTAGATTGCCTTCCCGTAGTCACGGACGATAACACGACGATGCACGCGGTTTGTAATTCTTGTTGCCTTAACAGGAGAACTAGACTGAATCCGTTTTCTTGGTGGCGGTAGAGATGTGTCGGCGCGGCTGGAGGACCGCTTCCGCCCAGTGGTACTGCTACTTTGTCTATCTAGTGAGGTGCGGGGCTCACTTCTACTCAGAGGCAGCATCAAACTGTTTAACATCTGTGTAACATCCAGGCCATGTCGAACGGTGTTAAGAATATCATCATATTTGCCACTCACGCAAACTGTCTCATGATGATAGTATCTCGCTACATTGACTACATTCTTCTCAGTTGCCTCACGCAGCAGTTCACCTTCTTCATCGCGCTCTGAGTATTGCCATGAGTCTTTGATCACAAGAGGTATCTGCGAATCATCGTTCTCTCGATGAGCCTTCCAGCAAGTTGTGGCACGGCCTGCGATGCACTGTGCCCGCGTCATCAATCTGTCAATGATGAGACGCTCCTTTTGCCCATTTCGTTCAATGTCAATATACTTAATGCCTTCGGCATCGATAATGGTGGGATCATATCCAAGCTGCTCCTTGTTCATCCAGAGAAATCCAAGCACGGTGGCAACAAATCGCTGTCCCTCTTTATTGATGTCAAAGTGCGCGGATGCAATCGCACCTAATCGATCGAATTCCCATAACCGCATAAGAGATCCGCAGAGTGTGAAGCCAAGAACAAAACGACGAGTCTCCTGACACAAAAGTACTTCTCTTGCATACCTTCCCAGATCAAGACCTGCCAATGAAGGTTTATCATATCCGCGGTTATTCTTCAGTTCTCCTGGTACAAGAATCTGCCGCCAGTGATACTCAACAGCTTTATCAGTGGCTGGACCATCCACAATGCCGATATCAAGCTTACGTTTCGCCGTGGAGCCTAATAGAGGTTGATGAGGCTGTACCAATAACCTTCGTTGAATGTTGAAGGTCGGAAACAACTCTTCAACATAGCCTGTGAACAGAGTTATCATTTGGGAAAGCCATTTCAAGACATCTTGCTCCTTTGCATCCTCAGGCCATTCCTTCCAGCCATCCTTCTTGTGGTATTGCGGGGTATCGCCCTGTGTGCAGTTCTTAAGAACTGTCTCAGCAATGTTCTCAAGATCCGTCACTTCTCCAAAGAAGGCTTTGTAGAACTCAGGGATATCAATGAACATCGGTCCTATATCCTCTTTCAGCACATTATCGATGTCTTTGCGATATTCACTCGAGTTGACGAGGCTGCTCATATTATACGTAATTGGGGTTTTTCGATCAAATGGCGCGCTAGGTGGAGGAGTGGAATGCAGAACAGTAATAATGAGGTTGATAACAGCAGTCCAGATGTCCATGTCTGGCGCCTTTTGAATGACAAGTTGTGACAGTGCGCGGTAGAGTTCATAGCTGAAGTCATCCTGTCGAGCATGTCTGAAGAGATTAGAGATGTCTGAAGCTAGATCGCGATTGCCTAATCGAGAGGAAAGATTGAAAGCCGACTTTTGCGTCATCAAAGCGCCGAGAAGGTCCGATATTGCCTCTTGACAAACTGAGGATGGAGTATCGACGGCACCATCATGGGAGTTTAGGTGCGGCCGGTAAGAATGCTCTGCGTCTTCAAGAATATCTCGTAGATAATCCAGAGAGGTTTTCAATGGGTGCTTTACAACAATATCACAATCGAATTGAGTAAGGCTCGCCATTTTTAGAACCTGTGGTCAGTTTTACAGAAAAGCGACCAGCGACGACACACTGGGCAAATGGCTGTTGGTGATTACCTACTACAACCTACCCTAATCACGTGCCACTCAACTTATATCCATACGGGGGAAGAACGTAGACTTATTATACGACCGGATTATGGTTGTTCCACTGTGCCAATCGGCGACACGGCCGCCGAACCATAAATCATAGTATAATGATGAATGAACTGTGAAATCACAGTAAATAGAGTATGAACAGAAAAAAATCATTATTATATTAACAGTGTCATCAATTTCTATCTATATAATTACTAATTATCAAAAATATCTCATTCACTGAAATTATCTTTTATTGAAAATCAATCTTTTGAAGTGTCTGAATTAGTCTTTATTTTCAGTTATAGTCTTATTATTAATTATCTTATTAAATCTGTGAATTAGAATTAAAGTTTCTGAACTAGTTATTATCTGAGAAGTACTATTATTAATCATACATTATTTAAGAGTGAGAGTTTCAGAGTAATTGAGAGCTGAGTATTTAGAGACTTATATAATTATTAACTTCTGAATAAATCTAAGAATCAATTCACTGACTCTAACTTACTGTTTCAGTGATTATTTTATAAGTTCAGAGACTCAGAACACTTATTAGAATCAGAAGATTAAAGAAGAAAAAGAGAATAGAATTGATAATAATAATAGAGAAGCTGATAAGAGTTATAAAAAGAGAAAGAGAATTATCACTATTAATAGATTTCTTATCACTACTACTCTTATTAACTGTATTACTAAGAAGTTTGATAATTATTTCAAATCAGTTTATTATTTCATATATTTCAATGAAAATACACTGTGCTTTCTCTCTAACACTGTAAATCAAGTTTGTGAGATTCTTTATTACTACTTTTTAATTCTTATAATAATTATTAACTGATCTCAAGATCTCTCACTGAATAACAAGCTTTATATTTTCAATATTCAATTTTATCTTTTCAATGATAATTTTCTTCTTCTTTATAATGATTTTCTTCTTTTCACTCTTTAATTTAACTCTTTCAATATTCAACTTAATCTTCTCAATTTCAAGTTTGACTTTTTTAATAAGACTGATAGATGTATTCAAGACTTTCAATATAATAGCTATACTCTTCATTTTATAATTTTCTGGTTTCTATCAGTGTGTCTTTACTTTCGTAATTTACTTAAATAAATTCTTTACTGTCTTCAGTATGACTGACTTGACTGATTTCTTCATAACTCTTAAGATAGTAAGATAAAACTCATGAGTTCAGATCAGGTTTTCAATTTCATCTTTGAATTTATTAGAGTATATCATTCAATCTTTCTTTTCATAATTACAGTTTAAATATAGCTTTGTACTTTCTTCAACTTTGTTACAAATAGTATTAATATAATAAAGAAAGATATATAAGATGTAATATTTATACATTATTGACTTGTCTGACTGATTGAGAGTTTTCAGTCTAATCACTGTCTTTTTCTCTTGTACTTTTGCAGCTGCTGTATATATACACTTAAGAGTTTTACTGATCATTTGTGCTGCTGTTATTATTATTACTGTTACTAATACTGGTATTAAGGCTGTTATTAATACTGTTATTAATACTGATGTAATGGTTCACTGATATTCTTACTGTACTGTGCACACACAGTATCTTATATTAGAACTTTTGATTCTTAAAGCTTTCTATTACAACTGGCAGAATACTAATCTTGCTGAAGATGAGAAAAGACTGAGTGAGCTGAGTAAGCTGATAAATTAATATTCATATTGTGATATAATTGCAAGAAGAAAGAAGAAAGAAAAGAAAAGAAAAATAACAAGTTAATATCTTCTTTATATATGTTATTAATTCTTTTATATTACTATATAATAAATGCTTTTATATTTCAGAAGACTGCTGAATACAATCAATCAGTGTATCTAGTAGATTTTATTCATATTTTATTTTCAGAATAAATACTTTCTGCACAGACTATCATTGAATAATCTACAGCTATTTTAAATATAAAATTATTTCTATTAATCAGAAGCAAGTGTTCAACACACTGTCAGAAATATATTTACAGAATTTCAGATAAATAAGAAGATTTTCTGATACAGTGAAATCAGTGATTCTGCTGCAGTTATAATTAAACTGACCGTGTGACTATGTCTGAGACCAGAATCAAACTTTACAGTTATTACATTGTCTAAAAGCATTACTTCTGATCATGGTTTGTGTTCATCACATTGATTTCAAATCACATTATTTCAAATATTAAAGGTCTCAGATTCACTTTTCAAATAAAAATCTATTCTCAGATAAAGAATATGTTTGAATTCTTAGTTACATTTTCATTCTGATCTCATTATTGAGAATGGCATTAAATGAGATTATAAAATCATTTCTCACTTACATAATATTATAATATAGTGCTCATTTGTTGAAAATTCAACAGAGAGTGTTATTAAATATTATTACTTTTCTAAACACAGATCATAATTTATATAATTTTAATTATGAAAAAAATATAAAATACAAAAAAAAATAAAAAACAAAAAACAAAACAAAAACAAGAAAAAATCACAATAAAAAAAGAAAAAAAAAGAGAAAGAAAAAAAAAAAAGAAAAGAAAAAGAAAAAAATAAAAAATAAAAATAAAAAAAATCAAGATCATAGAGTTACAGTACTTTTAAAATACTCACTCTTTAGAGTCTTCACAATATTCATCATCAATTATATATTTCTCATAGTGAGAATAACACAGCTGTGATGAGTTATTATCTTAACATTATCTAATAAATAATCAGTATATATCTGTATAAATGTGAATAATTAGAAAATATACACTTAAAAAGTGTGATCAGAATGAACTCTGCTATCACTTGAATAATATCAAGAGTAGAACACTGAAATTGATAATTTCTCTTATTGATTTCATGAACAAGGCATGTGAAGATGATCTTGAGAAATATAAGATTTCTCAACTTCTAATAAAAATGAATCTCACAGAGAGACTCTATTTTCATGATATTAGAGACTGAGTGTTATCAAAAAGTGTTATTTTCATGCAATGCACATGCACTTACTGCAGCAATTCACTCTCTGTATATATAACTGAGAGTTACAGCTATCTTACACTGCACAGCTCTCTCTGAGATACTGCTGTCAGTTTGCAACTCACACAGTCTCTCAGTTCAGCATGTGCTGTGTGTATACAGCTCTGTGTACTGAGACTGTGTTGATTATTATAGTCTAATATGATACTCACTTTTCACAGGTCATGTTTTGTTTAGAGAGAGAGAGAAAGACATGACTGTTATTTTATTAAGAGAGAGATGAATAATTAGTATTATTAAATATAATTTAATTCATCTGTATTTAAAATTTGATTAGTCTATACTCTTCAATTTGAGAGTTTCTAAGAGTGTTTTAATAGTTTTCATACTAGCTTGAACTTAGTGATGAGTTGAAGAAGAAGAGAAAAGAGAGAAGAAAGAAATGAGAATAACTTATCTTTATAATATAAAAATAAAGAATCACTGTAATCATTCTCTCTAGTAACAAAGATTTGTTTTCTGCATGTATCTCTGATATAGATTATATGATAAATATATACAAAGAATATCAATAGTGCATGTATTAAATGAAGATAATGTTGCTATATAACACTGTAGTTATTTCTGTACATCTCTGAAAGCTGTTAATAGTTTCTTTATCTCTTCATGTTTGATAAGTTAATAATATATTTCAATACACTCTCTCTTTCATTATTATCATCATCATCATCATTATCATTATCATTACTATCATTATTATTATTATTATCATTATTATTATTATCATGTCATTGTCTGTCTTCATCTCGCTCTCAATGCTCATTAAAACTAATCATGTCATTTCTCTTCAAATATTCTGCGGTTCTGCAGATCATCAAGGCGCGTGAGTATTATCACAGATTGAAGAAAGAGAAGAAGAAGGCATTTAAGTGTGAGAAGACAGATCACAAGACATGTTATAATATCTTGAAGAGACTTCATAAGAGAGTAGAATAATAACAATTTTAAGTAATACTTCTGATAGATTTAGACTGAACTAAGTATAGAAATAATACAGATAACATCACCTGTGAGAGATTGAAAAAGAAGATAGTGAAGAGTTTTATACAGTAGCAGTGAGACCAGAAGAAGTTCTGAGAATAATTTAAGATCAAGATAAAGAGAGAGAGAAAGAAGAAGAGTGTTACTGTAAATAAGCAGCAGTAGAAGAAGATTAAGAAGATATTGAAGTAAGAGATAAAGAAGTTAAAACTGATAAGTTTTTTATTGAGAGATAATAATGTTTGATAACACTTCTGTTCTCTAATTGATTAGCAGGAGCTGGCAGAGAAGAAGAAGATTGAGGCCTTATTCAGGTCTTAAATACACTTCATAATTCAGAATATTGAGAAGACAGCTCTGCTCTCTGAGCATGTCAATCTGCTTACTACTGAGATGAAACCTGAGACAGCAGATCAGAAAATGCAGGATTTTGAGATGCAGATTGACCTGACTGAGAGAGAGTAGTGAGAATTCTTCTCTGAGAAGGCAGCAGAGAGAGATTTTAAGATAATTATCATCTCAGATGAGAAGAAGAAGAAGAAGAATAAGAATGAGAAGTAAATTGTAAAGAATGATAAGAAGAATGAGAAAGAGAAGAAAGATAATAAGTAGAAAAAGTTTTTTTCTTTTTATATTAGTTAGTTATAAGTTCATAACTATTAGTTAATAATTGAAATTAATTTTAAGTTTTCAAAAATTATTATACAAGTTATAATCAATTATCAATGTCAGGAATAATATATATATATATATTCAACTATCATGCTACTCTAATGTATAAGTATCAACATTTTTTCAATATTAATATTCATAATATTAATATATTTTTAATAATATTATCTGATAACATAATTTAGTAACACTCTCTTTCATAATATTAATATATTTCAAGAAATATGACAGAGATTAATCAAGATTGTTTATTTACTTTTATACATCAATGATATTCAATCTG